GAGCCTGACAGAACTGGCTGTTGACGGCGGCATGAGTAATTCCGACGTTTGCATGCAGGTACGTTTCAGAAAGATCTTCCTCATCAAACCCCCCAGACCACACCGCTCACTGTGATGATTCATTAGACCCAAGCCGATATTATTCAAATCCCCGTCGAACGCCCCTCCATGCACGAAACCACTGCCCTCGGCGCCGCAATCGCCGCCGGTTTCGCCATCAATATTTGGAAGGATTTCGCCGAACTTAAGCATATGAATCGCGCCAACCGAGCCTCCTTCACCCCAAAAATGTCCGTCAAAGCCAGCGGCCGCATGTATAAAAAGTGGTCCAAGGCCGTGGAGATGTCCCGCGGCTGGATGGCCGATGAGGATAGAGAGGAACACCATGACGACGACGAATAAACAACTTTTATACATATTCCTGTGAGACGATTCCCATCGGTTTCGTCATCGACCCCGCAGCCCAGTTCGTGCATCTCACACCATGCACGATACGTACACACGCACAAGAGAGATCTTGAGACAGGTTTACATGAAGATCATATCAGCCGGATATCGCGCATATTCTCTCTTGGATACCCGGATTGTTTTTCTTTCGAGGGGGGCATTTGGACACCTCGTCTTTCCATTTATACATTTTTAGAGATTTTCCGACTAGAAAGTCCGTCCTAATAGGCGTTGTCTGCCGACGCCCTTGTCCCCTTCATGACCGTTATGACGGGAGTCATTGGTTTCAAGAAAAAGAGCTGGGGGTATTACGTTTTTCATTTTGCGGTTGGCTTGTTTTTAGAACGAGCTCGACTTGGCACATGTATATACAACCCGTTTTTGTGAAGAAATAAGAAAAAAATTCTAAATATCTCATCTCTTACTCTTTACACTGTATCTGAACTGGGAATTCACACAACTGGTGTATCTCAATATCACCCTGCACTGGGGCCCTGGGAATCCCAATGATTCCTAGTCGCGACAGATAGGGTTGTATAGTATGTTGTCTCTGATGGGTTGCGCCTTCCTATTTCAATACAGAAAAAAGGAAACACAACAGTTTCGTTCACCATGGATCGTCGAACCGAACAAAAGAACCATGATATCATTACCAGTGGAGAAGGGGGTTGACGTTATCAGTGCCTGATGTCCAGATGAAGTCATACTCCCCGAGAATGCCAAGCAGAGTTTTGCTAGATGTATTTGGATTGGATGTCCTGGAACTGTATGCCCTACCTGGTAGATATGCACGGAAGCCTTGGACCAGGGATTGCCTGCTACGATTTCGAGTGGGCAGGCGCGATTCAATACATTGTGATATACACATACAACGTACGTCGTACAGGGAATATGTACAGAGATCAATTCAAGCTTCAATGGTATTGCGCACGCAGAAAAGCGGCGAGCCGATAACCAGAGTCAACGAAGCGTGGATCTGAGACATGGAGAAAAGACAACCAAGGAAATATGGTATTTTCAATAGACGCCCGAATGATGAGGGGATGCACAGATGAAAAACAAGGTAGGGGGAGTGTTCGTAGAGCAAGAGAATAAGACAAGAATGAAAAAGGGGAGAGTACAGAATCTGGGGGTGAACTTATTCGTTGACCGTGGGTGCTCTCCCTGCCACCGCAGAGGAGCTGAGATTGGCCGACTGCAAGGCATCGGGAAGCTTCAGCGGCGCACTAGGGGCGGACGTGAGTTTGTTGATCTTCTCGCCCTTCAGCACCTGCTCCATTTCTTCCTTTGTCAGCGTCTCGTATTCGATAAGGGCCTTGGTCAAAAGTTCTAGTTCGTGGCGCTTTTCGGTTAGGATGTTGGTTGCTCGGTCACGGGCCTCCTCCACCAGCCGGCGCACTTCAATCTCAATCTCTTGCTTGGTTTCTGATGATAAGCTGTCGTAGTTTGTGGACAGGTCGACATTGCCGAGCTTTTTGGAATACCCGAACCGGGTGATCAGCGTGAAGGCCGTCTCGGTGGCACTTTGAATATCCTAATGATGCCGTTAGTATCGAGAAACAGAACAAAAAGACAGCCACCAAGACTTACAGCTGAGATACCACTAGTGACATTGTCGTGACCGAAAACCAGCTCTTCGGCGGCCTTACCGCCCATGGAAACGGCGATATCCGCCAAGTATTCGGTGTAGTTCCTTGACACGGTATCCATCTCCGGCAGGAAGTGAGTGATACCAAGAGCCATACCACGAGGTACAATGGTGATCTTATACAGCGGAGTGGATGAAGGAGAAAAGTGTGCAACGAGGGCATGGCCAGCCTCGTGGTATGCAGTCAAGAGCTTGTCCTTATCTTGAATGATGCGACTGCGAGCTTCAGCGCCCATCATGATCTTATCCTTGGCCCAATCGAAATCAAATGGACCAACATTGGCCTTGCGGTCACGGCTGGCATGAACAGCAGCTTGGTTGACCAGGTTCTCGAGATCAGCACCGGAGAAGCCGGGAGTACCTCGTGCAATGACTCCGATGTCAACATCAGGGCTAAACTGAATTTCCTTCATGTGATGTCTCAAGATGTCCATTCGGCCACGAACATCAGGCAGGTCCACAACGACTCTACGATCGAACCGACCAGGTCGAGTGAGGGCCTTGTCCAAGAGTTGAGGGTAATTGGTAGCAGCAATGATGATGACACCGCTAGTCTGGGAGAATCCATCAAGTTCCGTGAGCAATTGGTTGAGCGTTTGTTTGACATAAGCAGCATCGCGCTCGTTTCGCTTTCCACCTATTGCATCCAGTTCATCGATGAAGATGATAGCCGGAGACTTGCTACGAGCTTGAGCGAACAAATCACGAACACGCTTGGCACCAACACCGACGTATACCTCATCGAATTCAGATCCAGACATGTAGAAGAACGGGACACCCGCTTCGCCAGCAACAGCTCGCGCAAGCAAGGTCTTACCAGTACCGGGAGGACCGACCAAGAGAACACCCTTGGGCAGCTTACCGCCCAGGGAAGAGAAACGCTCTGGGTTGAGGAGGAATTCCACCAGCTCTTGCAGCTCATCTTTGGCTTCGTCACAGCCATGCACATCACTGAAGCGAGCCGTTTGCTGCTCGGGTTGAGCTTCCTTATCCTGCGCACCTCGAACGTTCTTCAGAACGCCAGTGGTTTCAACCAAGATAGTGACCGTGACCAGAGAGATGTAGGTGAAAAAGCCGAAAATAAGCAAGAATTTGACCCATCGGAACACTGTGCTTCCGAGAGACTCATCGACCACGACGTAAAGAGGAGCGTCCTTGGCACCTGTACCATTTTGTTTTCCCATTCCGATTTGACTGCCAGTAGCCCGGGCAGCGACCGCTTGACCAACTGCCTGGAGCTGTTCGGGGCTCAAATTGTGGTTTGACCCGGTGAAAGCTCCAGCTCCAGCATCGGCGCCACCAAGGCTTGACTGGGCCTGTTGAACCAATGCTTCAGTTGTGGGATCCGCTGCAAAATAACCGCTTCGGTGTCGTTCGATAACTATGCCCGGCATTTTGGCACGCAAAAGGGCCGAATAGAAAGCATTTTGGGCATCTGCGTTGTTCGGGCTCTTGTTGGCAACCTTCTCCTTCTGAGCTAGTATGTGATGCCAGGACCCCCCGAACAAGAACCGTTGCTGCTGTATCTTGGAAAGTCCATTAACCTTTGGAGCCGTGTGTATGGAGTTGAGGCGGAATGGAGTTAGGGTTGAGTATGAACGAGCTCCGGGGATAGCATGGCGGATCGACGTAAAAGATGAGGTGGCCCGAAGTGCGTCGTCTGTAATCGATAGTTAGATATGATCCATCAAGGCTATTTGCTCAGGCTAAATGTACTCCGATTCATCAATGACGACCATGTTTGTTGCGAAGGCCGGCTGACAATCTCCGCTCGTAGGGCTTCAATTGAAACGCCTTCCAGGTATTGAGGCAAGGTCGTGGATTTGGAGATCTGTCTCTATTAGCATGGAGTGACGCCAAATGGATGATAGGCTATGCCATACTGTTTTATTTCCTTGTAGGCTAGCACTGCGCTTGAAAGACTCGCTGACATTCGTCGTCGGAGTTCGGCCGGTCTGCTTCCAGGGAGCGGCTAGGACGTTATACATTGAAGGCCATAGATCCGATGTCACAGCAGCGACATTCTAGTAGCAAGTTGCTTAGGTCAGCTCTGAGATTTGGATGAGAAATCGCGAGGTTGTACTCACAGGCATGGGGATCGGGACTTGGAAGGCCATAGCTGTCCGATATACAGCGGCACTTGGCCGGGTGCGAGGATGGGCGCGTGCTCCTCTTGATCAAATCTACAGTTGAAAAGCGAAATTGAATATGTTAAAGCCGAGTTGAAGAGACTGACATCGCTGACGCAAGAATGAAGATAGAGAGAGCAAGGCGATAGTGTGCTCCGCTTTGATGCGGCGAAGGGCGACGGCGATTCATGTCCGAATGGGCGACCGTAGATGTCTCACGTGATCTTCCATGGCACGTGCACAATATAATGTCAAGCGTCATGGGCTCTTATCAGGTCTACGAAGGAATGAAGAGAACATTTCAAATGTATGACCTATCTACCAAATTAGTCGGCTGCTAACGTTGTATAATCTTTTGGTAATTTTCTCAGATCTCCTATATATATTCTTATTTGTTTTTTTCATGGAAACTTCCCCGTTGTCAGGTTTATAGATAGTCGGCAAAAAAGAAATAAAAAAAAAAAAGACGGGGAAGCATCGAATATGCAGACAAATTACCTATGACATTTGATCTTGATGTGACAGAGAAAACTGGTAACAGGTAACAGGTACCAGTAGTGGCCGGAAAGAGCCAGGTACACTCGCTGCTGACAGAAGCTATGGTTCCAAGGTTCGTGTCTGATCCTTACGTCTTAACGGCTACGAGTTTTATCCTTGACGCTTTTCAAAATGGCTCTGTGACAACCCCTGCATTAATGGCTTCAGGGATTCCCCAGCCTATGTGCTTTCTAAAGGACAAGAGCCCTCCTTAGCCGATTCTACCCTCTAATGCAGAGATGCCTCGAAAAAATATCTTCTTGGTAGGCGCTCCGTTGCCAGCTAGTCTGAACTGGGAAACAGATGAACTCCTCAATACGCCCATACCTCCATTTTATGAGGATACAAGGAGTCCTGAACAACAGGTATCCCTGGATCAACCACCTGTAAGATGGAGGGTGTTACGGTCACCATCAGTCGATAAGCTAGGTGACAATTACGACTCTTTCCAAGGTTATGAGGATCCAGCCTTTTTCATCTCGCATCAGCTGGCGGTTGCGACAGATGCGCCAGAATATCCAGAAGATTCGATTCTTCAATTCTATGACCATTCTTTTGCCATCCACGAAACCTCCGAGTTGGCTGGCTCAGATGTGTATGTAGCAGATTCCACGCAGGAGAGCAGTTTGGGCGAGGACAGCATGTTAGCAAGCACTACGATATTGGACAATCCAGATATCCCAAGGACACCTCACATTCTCCATATCCCTGGACCCCTCAGCGATTTGCAAGACCTTCCCACGGCCAAGTACATACAGTCCATCGCACCGCAAACAATGACGGTGAATATGATCGTGGGTGTACTAGCAGTTCATCCTCCACGTCGGATAGTCACACGACAATGGAAGACCGAGTTGGACCTTATCGAGCTCGTCGTTGGAGACGAGACAAGGGCTGGGTTTGCGGTCAATTTTTGGCTGAAGCCAGAGCAGCCGACCGCTGCCAAGAACAATGAAGCGGATCTGGGTCGATCGCTGGCGTCCCTTCGACCCCGCGATATCATTTTGCTCCGAACCGTCGGGCTCAGTACATTCCAAGCTCGGGTGTATGGACAAAGTCTGCGCCGCGGGATGACTACGGTCGAACTTTTGCATCGACAACCGGTGGATATGACGGATGCAGCTGGCTTCTACGAGGGCAAAATCCCCGAAAGTAGCTCCCCCGATGATCAGCCGGTTCTAAAGGCTCGAAGAGTCCGAAACTGGATACTTCGATTTGTGACGGATTCGGTTGGAATGTCTCATCCACGTGGACTGCCCCCGGACACGCAGTAATTTAATTACTTTACAATAATACTTGGACATAGTTAAAATATATGCTTGATAGTACAATATGTATCTTTTAGTACTCCGTACACCTTGTGGAATAATATATCTGAGACGAGGGAAACATCCACCAGAGTTAGTACTCATCACTCAAGTTTCAGGGGGCGATACCTCATGACCTTAGTTTCACGGGGGACGCCATCTGCATCCGGTAGTAACCATGCAATAGCATTGGAGGGCTGAACTAGGGTGACCTCAGGAGACACTTTGCAAAAAATTATCAACCATTTAACAAAGAAGTGTATTTGGAAGAATGTAAATCAAATATCACATTCATTTCAAAATAAGAAGAAAAAAAAAAGAAAAAAGAAACATCTCAAAACATCAGCAAGATGGCTCCAAAATAAGAAGTATATGGCCCCCTTTTTCCCGCAAACAGAGTCCCCCTCCAATCACCGCCACTCACGTGCCCCCACTTGGACGAAAATAAATCCATCAACGGCCAGGTGTTCCCTAAATAACAGAGAGTCTCTCTCCTTTTGTTTCTCCTAGCCTTTAATTTTCCTCTAATTTCTACTTTCTTTCATATCAATTCATCATGAAGGGTATGTATATTCAATGCTTTTGCCTTTCCCCGCTAACCCCTCTATAGCTCTTATTCTTGTTGGAGGGTTTGGAACCCGTCTGCGTCCTCTGGTAAATCTTCCTTTTCTTGGGCTTCTCTACTTGACAATTCTAATGCTTTCAATTGATCTAGACCCTTACCCTTCCCAAGCCATTGGTGGAGTTCGGAAACCGGCCCATGATCCTGCACCAGGTCGAGAGCTTGGCTGCTGCGGGTGTTACTGATATCGTTCTTGCCGTCAACTACCGCCCGGATGTCATGGTCGCGGCTCTCAAGAAGTACGAAGAACAATACGGTGTCAACATTGAGTTCTCCGTCGAGTCCGAACCGCTAGGCACGGCTGGCCCGCTCAAGCTGGCGGAGGAGATCCTGGGAAAGGATGATACGCCCTTCTTTGTGTTGAACTCAGATGTTATTTGCGACTACCCCTTTAAGCAGCTTGCCGAATTCCACAAAAACCACGGCGATGAGGGTACCATTGTTGTCACCAAGGTCGACGAGCCCTCTAAGTACGGTGTCGTTGTTCACAAGCCCAACCATGCCTCACGCATCGACCGCTTCGTCGAGAAACCCGTTGAGTTCGTGGGCAACCGTATCAACGCCGGTATCTACATTCTGAACCCCAGTGTTCTAAAACGCATTGATCTCCGCCCGACCTCTATCGAGCAGGAGACCTTCCCCGCCATCTGTAAGGAGGGCCAGCTCCACTCCTACGATCTCGAGGGCTTCTGGATGGATGTCGGTCAACCCAAGGACTTCCTCACCGGTACTTGCCTATACCTGACCTCTCTGGCCAAGCGTAACCCCAAGATGCTTGCCTCTCACACAGAGCCCTACGTGCACGGCGGAAATGTCATGGTTGACCCCTCCGCCACGATCGGCAAGAACTGCCGTATCGGTCCCAACGTGGTCATTGGTCCCAACGTCGTCATTGGTGACGGTGTCCGTCTGCAGCGCTGCGTCGTGATGGAGAACTGCAAGGTCAAGGACCATGCTTGGATCAAGTCCACCATTGTTGGCTGGAACAGCTCTGTTGGTCGCTGGGCGCGTCTGGAGAATGTGACTGTTCTTGGAGACGATGTGACCATCGCCGACGAGGTGTACGTCAACGGTGGCTCAATTCTGCCCCACAAGAGCATCAAGCAAAACATTGATGGTAAGTTCTTTCTAACCGATCGCCACAAACCTATACTAATCGTTTATCCAGTTCCCGCGATCATCATGTAATTCCCCTTCCTACTCCCCCCTCTCTTCCTTCACGTCGCTATGCCTTTTGAAATACCTCCCTTCAACTCTCGTGCCGATAACACCCTCCACTCCGCCCTCCTTGATGCATACAACCGGAGTCGTTTACTGCGTTGTCTTCTCTTCTGTTGCCGGCCTGCCTTTCTTCCGTGGTGGTTTATCGCCCTCGCAACTTCCTTCCTTTCGTCCGATGATCAATGCACTCAGAAACCTAGATGGTGAAAGCGTGCGATTTCGGCTGTTTTGCAAGAAATAACCCCTTTTAGTCTTGTTCTTTCTACGTTTATTCTTCAAGTTATCCCCGTTCTACTGCTACGTATTGAGGCTTTCGTCACTACATCCCCGCTCCCTTGCGTTTGGCCGCTTGTCTTGATTCCAATTTCTTTTCCAATTTTTATCTTTATCGCTGCTGATCTTCTGGCAATTGGTGGGCAAGGAATTCATGCCATATCCGTTTTAATGAGAACATGGGCGTGGGGCTGGTTCTGTTGATGTAAATAATAGGAGGCGGAATTCGCAAAAAAAAGATGCAAGTTCAGTTGGTCTTCTCAACACGATTCTTCAGGTGCACATCAGGTATCTTTGTAGAGGTATCATACACGGAATATTATATATAGTTTTAATGCGTATACATATGGTCATTGAAGCTGTTCTGCTTCGACTCAGACAAACAGCGAAAACCCGGAGCAGAGACTTGAGCATATGCGAGTCTTGGGCGAAGCCATTCTTTGCTTCAGATCATCTCTGGGAACGAGCTTCCGCTTGATCCAGGATCTCATCCCATTGAATTCTCAATTCTTCCATCTGCTTCCAACACTGGCGTCCAAGTTCCTCGAACTCTATCCTCTTTTCCTTGGTAAGATCTTCCGCGCCACGCTTACGACGTCGGAGTCGATCAGCCTCAACAATAGGCGTGCCGACAACACCTCCATGTCCCCAGCCGTCGACCTCAGTAGAAACCGCACTTTCAATTCCAAGGCGCCCGCAAGACGAGCCCCATTTAGCTCTACCGCCACCAGCCCGGTGGTAAGGCTCTTCGGCAGCTTCCACATCAGCCTGCGATGCCAACGCGAGGAACACCGGAGCGCAAGCGCCGAGGTAAGTAGACAATGGATGCCAGGGTGAACCCAGCATCCGCGCAGCCCAGAAAGCAGCAATCATCGCCCACGCAAGGGGAAGAATAAGCGGGATGATCGATGTGGCGCAAATACCAGGGTGAGAGAGATACATGCGCGGGGTTGCGTCGGGAGCATTTGTGTGGATAGCATGAGTGTCAAGCTCCGTCTCAGACTGCAAGAAGCTCTCGACCGCCCAGGGAGCGGTACTTGGCAGATTGGAAGTCAGCGCGAGGATATCAGTGAGAGCCTTAGAGGACTCATACGGCGCATTAGTGCGCAAGCCCTGAATGTCGTCGACCTTGAAAAAGTTCCAAGTCGCCTCGAGACTGGAGACCCAGACCACACGCCCGGGGCCGTTGGTGCGCGCCCGCTTCAGCAGCGGAGCCACATTGTGCGCCAGCATATAGTGCCCGAAGACATTTGCGCAAAAGACAGCTCCAAGTGCAGGCTCCTCTTCCGTCTTTGTTTGCTTGCCTGTTAACACACCCGTCGGGGCGAGCTTGTAGGATGGCCAGGTAACTGCGTGGAGGAGATCTGTGCATACATCCCAAATGGCTCTGGGCCAATTGATGCCGGACCAGCCGCCCAGTCCAGCGTTGAGGACTAATGAGTCGAGTCGGGGGAGGGTGTGAACTAGTTTGTGGGAAAGCTCGCGCACTGAGCGGAGATCACCGAGGTCGACGCTCTCTGAGACGAAGTGGACGCGTGCTGCGGCAGATGCGGAAGGGGAGGTTGATTTTAGGTGTGCTTCTAGTCGGCGAATTGTGTCTTGGGCTTTGCGCGCATTTCGAGTTGTAAAAATGATAGTGAGAGATTCGGATTCTGGGTGGGAGGAGAGGAATTCGTCGGCAAGACGGCAGCATATAGAGAATCCGAGACCGCTATGAATGGTCCAAGTTAGTATATGAAATTGAAGATAGTGTCATTGAGAAGATTATACCTGTTGGCTCCCGTTACCAGAATGTACAACATGGATTGCTCACTGGCGGAATCGACCCGATCCATGGCTTATTGCTCCAGTGACTTTGTTGACTCGGCACTTTTTTTGATATCGGAGATAGGGGTTATGGGATAAGAAGTCCAACAGTTGAAGTTGGCTTAGGCTGGAGTGGATGTTGCTATTTGTCGCAACAAATAAGTTCTACGACAATTTGCTCCGTCTGAAACGAAAGGAATTCCCTCGGAGTGAACACTGGCAATGTCTGCTGTCGACAATCCACCGAACGGGAAGTTACCTACCTAAGGCATATCACCCATATCACGTGTCCCACTCTAATCCTTATCCTTATCGGAACCGTAGATGTTCCAAGGTTGCTTCCCCGTCATACTCGCTCCTCGCGTTTCATGGCTGAGATCCGGTAAATCTCACCCAAATGTCGTGCAGTCGACACACGGGAAGTCATGGCAGTCAGACTTGAGCGGTTTCTCAACACAACTGGATTCTTCTTCTTCGCCATCATCCTCTTCTGCCTCGTCATCCTCACACCAGCCGACGCCATCTACCAATGCTACGAGACGAATCGATTGACCAACGTCTTTTTCATTATCGGCGCGTATGTGATAACTTTTATACTTGCAGCCCTCATATATGCGACGCGTATATACACAAATCGGAGTGCACTCACAGGCATACCAAAAGCCTGGATTCCCGTCGAAAAGGAAGATGTGAGCAAGAGCGTTAGGCGACTGGTGAAGGAAGGTCTCGTCCGTAGCGCTATTATTGCGTATCAAGCCCACCCGCGAGATATCTCCACCGACGAGGACAACTTCAAAAACTACAAACCGCTTCTCATTGACCCCGGACGACCCCCATGGGGCTATGTCGAGCACCCCGGCTGGTCTTCACCTGCTTCGCCAGACTTACCGGACCTACCATATCGCACAGTCATACAGGAGCTCCCCAGCTTGATTGAAGCCAAAGCTGTCTCTCTTGCCCCTGCTGATTCATTATCACTTGCCACCCCATACCCCTTCGATCCGCCAGGCGATCTTACAACACACTCTCTCCCGGATACACGTGTGGTAGAGGTATTGCAACGTCCAGCCTCAATGGGTCTGAGAGAATACATCCGCCATCTAACGTCCCTCGGGGCTATATATCCGCCAGAACTCGGTGTGGATTTCCTTGCGCTGTACGAACGAGCCCGATTCTCACCACGCGATCTACACGAGGCGGAATTCCGAGACCTAATGCATCTCTTCGCAGAGATCCTAAGAGGAATGACTTCTCTTGCACCACCGATACTGGATGAAATTCGCGACAGCGCAAGCTACCGACGAGCCTACAGCGAATCTGCCATCGGTCCCTCGGATGAGGAGGGAGAAACAGATACTGTAGGGACATACGGTTACGATGGGGCTCTAGGGTCCATGCGGAGTAACAGTCTTCGCGCCTCGAATGCGTCTACCTGGGAGACCCAGTCCGGGTACGACACTGCACCTGCAATGCAGAGTCCTGCCTCGGGGCTGTCAACAGATGACGGATCATACGCAAGAAGCCCTTTTCGCACACCTTCTACGAGGTCTCTACGACGCGTGGCATCGGGCCGATCTGGCAGTTCCGGAGGGAGTGTTATTCGCTTGGCGCAGCCAGGAGATGCAACAGATTTACCATACATAATTGACTACGCTGGACGTAGGCAGTGATTTGATCACACTCATACCCTGTATATTAATTATAGAGCAACGTCATTTGGAGATCCAATTGCGACAGGCCCTGGAGCCCTGGAGTGGGGGCGGACTTAGTCAGGCGGAAAACATTCCGATTACTTGGCAGACCTGCAAAACGATTGATAAGATCAATTTATCATTTGACGAACGCATCATAACAAAACGAGAAACTGGCACCTATCCTCCTTTCCCGCACTATTGAAGAATACACTCACATCCTGTAATAATGCATCTCTTTCGCCGAGGGACTTCCTCGCTTTTTAACTCCTCCAACGTCTCCCTCGCCTCCTCCAAGACCGACATCACTACCGACGCTGTGGGCGACAACGCCCTCGCCGCCGAAGGGTTTCAAACAATCTCGTCGAGTGATAAGCTCTTTGAAAATGTAGACCCAGCGGTAGACGGCGAAGACTGCCTGCACGATTGCGCGACATGCACAGTCAAGTACCCCGCCAAATTCGATGTCGATCAACAAGACGAACTATATGGACAAGTCAATGGATGGGCAACGCATATGCTTGTCGCAACTGGCAAGTCAGATTGGGTGAGAGATGTGGCAGATGAGAAAGGGAGCGTCATGGAAGCCATTGAGAAGGGAGGACTGGAACCGAGCAACGGGGTATGATAATATCTACCATCCCTCTTTGTCCACCAAAACCGATGTATACAGAGAGAAGCTAACACCAGCCTCGAAATTCACCGTAGCGACTTAAACTGTCCGCATCAAACATGCCCGTCCCGGACGAATACCATATGGCCGACGCGGGCAAACAGCCAACAAACGTCCTCCTGCTGCCGAGTTTCACCGTCGTGGAGCACGTCACCCCACAGCTAGTCCCAGATCTGATCGAGAACTTCATCAACCGGTCACTGACAACAACAACGCCACTAGGCGCAATCCCACCCCCACCGGAGCAATCAGCAGATGCAAACCAAGATCCTACGCAAACACATGAGCTCCCATGCCCGTCCACGACATCAATCACCACATCCCTCAGGTCGCACCCCTGCCCGCACGCAGCGGTAATTCTGCTCTGCTCGCAGCGGACTCGCGACGCGCGCTGTGGGCAATCGGCGCCCCTCCTCCGCCGCGAGTTCGAGCGCCACCTGCGCCCGCTTGGTCTGTACCGCGATATGGACGACCAGCGGCCTGGTGGTGTGGGTATCTACTTCATTAGCCATGTCGGTGGGCACAAGTACTCTGCAAATGTGATTGTGTACCGCCGCCGGGACTTTGAGTGGTACAAGCGCGGTGCTGCTGCGGATGGGGAGGGGCAGGTCGAGGATGAGGGTGCTGCGCAGGGGATCTGGTTGGCACGTGTGCGGCCGGAGGAGTGTGAGAATATCATTCGTTATACTGTCTTGCAGGGCAAGTTGCTCAAGCCTGGGCGGCAGCTGCGGGCTGGATTTGATCGTGAGCGTGGGTTGACGAGTTGGTAAAGTTAGAGTTGGGCTGGGTTGGGCTGGTTGGAATTTTGGAGTTTGTAGAGTGGATATAGTAAGATACCTTACGGACACATATTACTATGGTGGGCTTATCTTGTGTTATATGTCATTTGTGCTTTTGTATTTATTGGTCTATATGTAGCACTGTCCCTGAATTCAGATCTCTGTCTATGCTACGATGTCAGCATCTAGAACCGCCAGTGCTCTATATTGTATTATTCTATCTACCATGTATTACTTGACTCTGCATTCTCCACAACCATTGAGAATCAGAGGTGCTCATGGTGTGAGGCTTTGATAAGATCACGTTGTTCGAATCTTTGTAGCTTCTCTATGATTACCAATAATGTATAGCAAGACACGGTGGTATTGAGTATTGAATCCAAACCAAGCTCATCCTCATACCCTTGATATGCCCTGTACGTTTTTCCAACCGTGTCACATAATCACTTAATCCCAAGGGAAAGGTCCCGAGTTGGATTGATGGCCTTCCTTTCGCACGAGAAGCTTGGGGGTGTTCTTAGAGTCTCCGTTTCAACTCCGTAGGCCTTGGGTTTGGGAGAAGTACACTCGGATGCTTTGAGAGCTCGGGAAGAAAAGCCCTGCCCCTCATTGCTCATGAACAGGATACGTTGGTAAGTACATGTGTGGTCATTAACCATTGATCAGTCTTGCTCTTTATCGAGTATATTTTACTTGAAATATCGTTTCCTATAGACATCAGTTATCGCTTGACTAATGATCATACGTTTCATGCGAATGAACTATATACTAGCCTCGACAAGCAACTTTCCCACGCCCAGGCACGTGCAATACAGAGTCAACTGCAAGGCCGGTGTTTGCAAGTCATTCCAGTGCTAGACTAAAGAAGCATTGCCGGATTATCAACACAGTCGTACATATCGAAGACTTCCATGGGCTTACTGAATTGTAAATCCCTAATATTCCCCGACTTTTCGGATAGAAACGGCCGCACCATATGAGAAACTTACGAAAGAGTTGTAGATTGCTTAGCATTGGCATCCAAGTTTGGAAGTCCCGGAGCCCTTGGGAGGCTATTGTATGTTGTTTATGTTGTATAATACAGGCCCCCGGCCGAGTCTGACCTCGGGGACCCGAAGTCGCCCGGGCAAGCCAACTCGCTTACATAACATCCTGGACCGCCCTGGAGGTCCACAACGGGACCTGTGGGCTGTGCTCAATTTTACTGACTCATGCGTACGAAATTGTGTATTCATGTACAAAATCGATTGCCTTTTCGTCAGACCATTCTATTCTCCCCTTGTACTGACTCTGCACTGTATCTCAAACCACAGTGCAGATATAAGGCCACACTATCGAATGTGCTCCATATTACCCACGTTAGTTGCAGCAAGGCGTGCATGCGTACCCGACGGCCGAGACGGTCTTGGAAATCCACGAAGCCATTCCCCACGGGAAAACATCATATCCTTGAATGAGCAATAACATCAGATGACTAGCAAGGGAATGCAGGTCTGGGAAGCCAAGCCTACAAGCCGCTATCCCTCAGCCATCGGGTTCTCGTTCTGCCCTGGGCTCCACCGGGCTTGTTTGAAAGTAACATGAGACGGTGATTGCACAGAATAGAGCCAACGGTTTCCCCCTGTGCTGCGTATCTCCATGGCCCCCTTGTACAGACATCGGGACAATGGTGGATGCGGGAATTTTGTGCTTTGCTTTCTTGCGGGGGATGGAGGTCATTCCAAGACGTCATTCCCCTCCCCGATATGATATCTCTTCCTATATTGTATACAGTATACATTCGTGTTACCAGATAGGAACCCGGAGATGAGGTCTTTTTCGGTAAGAGACCTCCGAGTTGTAAGGTGTACCAAAAAATATTAACTTTGCTGTCAGCTGTGATAGGGGCTTGGAATAAGTTTGGATGATTTGATCATATTCTCCTCTTCTTTCTCACTTCTCGCGCTGTTGGCCTTCCGAACCAACAGTCGGTGATTGCTGACCTTTTTTTTTGGTATTTTTTGTTTTGGAAACTGGAGTCAAAATGCCTGCAAGGGATCAATTGGTGGCTGTTCATCCTTAGCCCCAACATCCTAGTCCGGTAAGTTATCGTTGGAGCGCAGATAGGAGAGCAAACCCCGAGTGTTGACCGACATTCGCGCAACGAAAGCAAGAGAATGCAATATGGCGGAGAATGATCCCGACGGGCAAGTAAACTAAAGAGCACAACATACAAAGCAATCATGGCCTACTGATTCAACTGAGGGTGGGGAGATTATCATAGAGAAACATGATATCACATTCATACCGTCTCTCGGTGGAGAATCTTGTGGATTCATCAGCCAGAGATTACCAACCCAGAGTCCACTTGGCTTCTTAGCTCCCTTTGATCCTAGAGTGGGGGATAGGCCGGCGAGCTTCTCCTATTAGTGCGTCGCCATGCGCGCGTCGGATATTAATTTAGTGGCTTTTTGGAACGTGTGGAGTGTGTTTTGGAGGTCAGGTTGGAGAATTCAACCCAGGGTTGACTTTTATGTACAACATAACTCGTCGCTATCGGTACTTCACATGGGTGATCGCCATAGAGGTGAGATAATTCCGATCTGCCTATTTCACCTCTTTTTTTTTCAATATTGTACGGAGTACTCCGTATAGAGTACATTAATAAGATTTCCCTCGTATACAAGCCATTACCTACAGATACCAACACTATTAGTGGCTTAGCCACAAAGCCCCAGAAGGGGAGGGCTTGCATGGGTCAAATCAGAGAGCTGACGGCGTCATATCTCTTCGCCAAGATGAAACGGAATGCGGGGTACTCCGTAGAGCTTCCTAGAGCATCACCTCATTGAGAAAGGAGAAAAACGGAGGAAAATAGGAGATAAACAGGCTCTAACTCTAACCTAGCGGAAAGCCATTGTCCTTGCTCATGCAGCTTGACAATTTTTGAGCTTCTAATTCCATTTTCTCCAACTCTATATATCTTAGGTGAATCTTACTCTGAGACGGACATTCTTCCAATACGATATGGCCCCCCCCAAAATGATCCCATCCCTATTCGGAGGATTCACTCCACAATTGAAATTAGTCCACACAAAGAATGCAGAGGGTAGACTCTAGGGTATAGTTGACTGGTGCCTGATTTCTTTTTATGCAAGCACACCGGTATTTGGTTTTTGCTTCCGCGTCAAGCTTGCCAGCCGCGCTGTGCTTTCACAGCATGATAATGTGTAGATATGTATGAGTGCCTCGAGTAGAGCATGCATGCTGTGTCGTACCTACCTAATCAACCTAGGCATGCAACATATGTTATAGCTTGGCAGAACGATTACCGTTTCATCTAGCGTGCATCTAGCGAACCGATGGCCGACAAGGTCAACGATTGTCGCAGTTTATCCCCTAGGGGGTTGATCGGCGGGGATTTCGGTGATCTTTTGTTGACGGAATTTGCTTTCATAGTGTTGAATCTAGCGCATCTGCAAGTCTGGACCTTTCAGGAGAAAATCATAGGCTGTGCAAGCAGTACTCCGTACTCCGTACAGAGTATACTTTGACTACATAGTAGCCTTTCTTTGGATTTCATCTCTATACTAGCAATGCTCAAGTGATATATACTCTTTCTTCCCAATATCAGTTCAAGTAAGTATATTTTGATTTGATTTTATGTTCGATTACCTCAATGGCTGAAATGGGCTGCATCCGTAACTCCTAATAGGGATTTTTTTGTGGGTCCTCGAACCCGCACATGCTTTGCCTCGTACACTACACGCATCATCAAGATCCGGATATATCATGAAGGCAGCACTATTGGTCATTTGAACGAGACTTCCGCTAGATGAACTGCGGCACCCGATCCGCCACACATCATTAGGCAAAGCTTTACTGAGTACTGAGTACGGAGTACTCCGTTCATACCTAGGCTGTGCTATGTAAAGCTTGTCGATCACAAAACGAAAGAAAAAGAAAAGGGAAGCTACAAAGCATCTGACATTCCTCCGGCGTAATAAGGTTATAGGATCAGAAGATCCCCGCTGTTAAGATGACCGCGAGTGGGTTGCCACGTTCAGGAGCAGTTACCACCAACGCCCCCAGTCTCTTTTTGTGCTTCTTACTTTCCAATGAGGGACACTACATGCTCTAGCATACTCATGCCTGTATTCCTGCCTGTGATCCTCACCGCATTCGTCGCGCGAACATCGAAGCTTCTTGCGACACCTTCGTCGAGCCTTACGACCGACAATCGAGGCATCCTGGGCCAACCGAGGCTACCCGTCGCATACCTTGTGGCGGGGCAACAAGCTATCTGATCAATTCATATGGTTTGCCACTAGAATTATAGAGGCGAGATGTAGATAGTAAACAGCCATTTCTCGACGAACTTGTGGCGAAGAGGAAGTTGAAGCCAAATGATCATCCGGTACGTCGATAAAAAAAAAGCAATTATAATGATTGACGGTATACAGAGTACGGTGAAGAGAGTCACCCTTTGCATCTATGAAGAATGCATTGTATACCTTCGGATTATGAGAAAACGAAATTCCCCTGAGAATCAAAGATTGATATAATTTAAACCGAAGTGGAGAGACGGGAACAGCCCCAACCTTAAGGAAATGGGACCCGAAGCCTTGGGGCTGTTCGGGTTGGACAAGCGGGATGAGCTGGGGTACCTGATCGGGATGAAATCCAAAGTTATCGCCGTTGATGCAGATGCCGCGTCATAAGTCATCCCTTGCAGTCTTCTGATTTTTTTTTTTTCAACTCCATCGCAAAGGGCTTTTTTTTAAAAATCCGGTGGGATGCCATAGTTCCTTTTGGGAGAGTAGATGTATATGAGAAGGAAAAGTTTTTAGGTGAATATTATTAATGTTGACCTTTCATTTTAAAAAGTAGATCGGAGCAGTTCGGCCGCGGCTAAGGTGGCTTGGCTTGTGTTATTTCAGAGTCTTTGAATGGCTGAATTTCCGAGAGTGTACGGAGTATGATATCATGCTTTTAATAGGCTTGGCAAGTAGCTGAGAAAAAAAAAAAAGAAAGAAAGAAAAAAAAACCAATCAAAAGGTGTACAGTTGACGGAGTAATACCCCTCTATTTCAACTGTTTATTACGGAGTAAAGGGGGCCAAGAGGGTGGGAAGTTTATTTTATCAGATACGGGTTACATACAGTGTATTATATACAGTATCTGGAAGTGGAGTGGTAAATAAGATACTGTGGGGGGTGTTTCTATCTTTCAATGGGCTATCGCAATTTCCATTTTCACAGAAACTTTGGAATTAGTACAGAAATAAATTGCCTCAGGTATTAGTTGGTTTTCCGATGTGGTACATGAGAAAAGAACATAAAAAAAAGGGAAGGGGAAGGGGAAAGGAAAGAGTACATATCTAGGTCTCTGATAGGTGCACGGAGTAGTATATATGGCAACATAAATGAGGTACCTGGTACCTTCCAAAAATAAGTATCAAATATATAAAATAGGTAAAATAAAAATATAATATAATATAATAAATAATAAAAAACCCCCCCAAAAATATCAGTATACTACGGTCCTATCCGCGCCGTTATTTTCCTTCCCCCTTCAACAGCTATTAAAACCTCATTAAAATACTCTTGAGGCTCCCCCTCTTCTTTATCTCTGGATCTTTATATATATTCCCCTCTTATATTATACTACCCATTCGCATGGCATAGTCTGACTACCTTTGCTTTTTTTTTCCTTTTTTTTTCCTGCGCATATGCGATCACATCCTTCCCCTCTTCCTCTTCCCCTTTGTGTATCTTCACATCTTTCGTTCTCTTTGCACCATGGCTCCAGGTAGCGGGCGCGACTTTAACTGCACATGGGAGCATTGTGGAAAGGTCGGTGTTTCAGCCCTCGATCGTTTCTCATCCTAACCTGATCTTTGTAGTCATTCAATCGCAAGTCGGATCTTTGTCGCCACTATCGCATTCATACCAATGAGCGGCCGTATCATTGCACCGTCAAGGACTGCAACAAGAGCTTTATTCAGCGGAGTGCCTTGACCGTACATTCGAGGACTCACACTGGCGAGAAGCCCCATGTTTGTGACCATGAAGGCTGTCAGAAGGCATTCTCCGATGTAAGGACTTTCTTGGAATCGAGGATGCGCATTTCCTAATCTCTTATAGTCATCGAGTCTGGCCCGCCATCGCCGAATCCACACGGGCAAGCGGCCATATATATGCCACGAGCCTACGTGTGAACGGAGGTATGTGCTTTGGTAAAAAAAAAAGGTAGTCGACACACTATCTAATTGTCTTATTGAAACTGCAGTTTCTGTCGCAAAACCACCCTCACCAAACACCAACACCGCTCCCACCCTCCAGGGAGTTTGACCCGACCATCCTCGGAAGATGCAACCTCCGAGCACTCTTACCACCAAACACCCGTATCAGTCTCAGTCCCTAGTGAGCAGTATATGCTCGCTCAGCAACCTTATTACCCGCAATCAGCGACACCAAGTCATGAGTTTTACTCGCCCCAGAGTGTGCCGATGGGTGCCGTACCGGTTCATGAAACTGCCCCTCCGATCGTGTCCCAGAATGTACCGGGAACTTCTCCGGTAAACATGTCACACCAACAGCCACACCCACAACACCATGCGCATCCACACCAACATCCACAACAGCAACAACATCAACAGCAGCAGCACCACCAGCAACAATACTTGCAAATGATGCAACCGCGTTACGACACAAGCCCACGCACCAACTACATCCAAGAACAATATCAACATCCGTCTTTTCAAGGCCATCAACTGCCCTCCGAGCAGTCAATCATGGTTCCATACCAATCAAACTATGCGTACAAACCCCAAGCCTCCCGGCTCTTGAATCAAGCGGAGGGGACTGACTGGGGCTTTTTGGGAGTAGGCGGCTAAGAGCGGATTACACCTAGATTTGTGGATCCAATGCGTGTTTAATGCCCGTTACGACTTTTCTGCTTTCCGGTTGAAATTTTGGAGGGGGGGAAATTTCAAATCAGGCATCTATTTTTTTTTCCCTGTGGTTCTATCTTGTTTCTTTCCCATCTATGCTCCATTTCTAGGTTTCTGGGCGCTTTTCTTATGGATTCCCCTTTGCGATATTGTGCTATGTCTTTCTATATATTGTCATTTTAAACGGAGACAATGGTGTTTCCTTTCCTGGCGATCTTGTTTTGATACCTGAACATGGCATGTGTTTTTTTTTTTTTTCCTTTTTCTATTCTTTTTTCGTTTTAATTTCCTTGACGTTATATTCCCTGTCTCTGGGAGGATTGGTCGACTCTTTTTTTCTTTTCCCACCCAGATCCCGAAGAATTTCTTTACCAAGTGTATGGTCATCAATCATCATTCCAATAGTGCCCATATATCACCAGCCATTCCCTTTCCTGCGACTAGTGTCTTCCCAGGAATATTACTGCGATGGAAAATCCACTCTCATTGGCTCCATCAACGACCTAGCCTTTTGAACTCTCTTCCTCTACTCCACGTATATTTACTTTCCCGCTCTTTTCAGCCTATTCCCGTATTATCTCACACCGTTGTCTGGGCATTATCTCTCTAGTTAGAATGTCATACCATGCCTAGGTTGGCACACGGTCCGAAAATAAAATAAATTGCATGGCGTACATGACTCGTGGCTTTTTCCCTTCTGCTTCTCCATATTTGTATATATTTTATTTTATTTCTATTTTTTTTTTAGGCCCCGCTGGATTTATACATGGGTGGCCCCATTTCCCTCCTCGGAGTTCTAGGTGTTGGAAAAGCCAAGGAAGGCTAAGGGCCAAGGGAAATTTCAGCAGCGCAACCCTGTCTCGCTAACAAAGACAGCGTGGTTTTTTTTAATTCGTGCGCTCGTTCTCGCTTGCCTGTCTAGAATTGGGTCCTATCATATTATTATGCATTATTATTTTGACTTCTTATGCTGACACTTTAAAGGGCCATCTGGGCAATGATTTTCTATTTATATAACTATTTACTATCTACTCTGTAGAGTATAATTCATGGGGTAATCTGACAACTACTCAATCCCCCTAAAAATGATGATAATATTAGAACACAGTTGAGCAAGTTTCCAGAGTTGCTTTCGCTTTCTCTTCCCGAGTTCCCGATGCAACAGCAATTTGTTTTTCCATGTCTAGTACGGAGTACCTAGACAAATCCTGGTGGATTATCCCGGTAAGGATCTCTACTAGGTTAGTCTACCAATACAGACTAGGATCTTGTTCTGCATAGTACATAACCGTTGATCTAAGGTAGCAGGAGTGTTGCACTCTGGCTAAAACACATCACCGCTAGTAGCAAATCAGACACCCCAAGTCCGTGGGGGTTACGGGGTACTTGGTCATTGTACATGGTCCTGGAAGGGCCTTGTGGCGAACAGAAATTTTCTTTATCTCGTTTATCAAGGGTTTGCCGCCTCTCGATCACTTTGTGAGACACCTATTACGCCTTCTGGGGTGTTGTGTAGGTTTATTTGATTATGTATACGGGCTTCGAAGGTACAAGGTACATGCTGAGAACATGGTATATACGATCTAGCCAGTAAGGATCGAGAAATGAGAGGGGAAATATTCCTGGAGTACGCAGTAGCCTTAATTCAAATATTCAATCTCCAGTCAAATGAAACAAAAAATAAAAATAAAAAAATTAGAACGAGACTAAAGAGATTCTCCCATCAATCCTCCGTAGAATGTCAATCTATTACTGGCTTAATTACTCCGTACCCTACTCCATACATTCATGTTTGACATCTGCATCTCTTTACTTTCTTGGAATAAAACTATCAATCTACTTGAAGCGGAGACTATTTCCGATTTGAAATCCAAATCTTGATTTTGTGATTCTGCGCTTTTCGGTCGATCTTTGTTTCGTGGGAATTTTTCTTCCCTTTCGAAAAAGTATCACTCGCGGAGACTCCGGACTTGCGGCCAAGGCCTGCCGAGTGACACTAACTTTCGACGCAGATCAATACAGGGGGCCATTGCCAAATCCATCAAGAGTGGAACTCGGTGAATGCGGATGGAATATGAAAGGGCCGGTAGATCCCGCCTCCAGAAGCATCGAACTAATTTCCTCTCTCAGGGAAATACCGGAGGATAACTGGACACACCTCGGAAGACCCGGCCTGTCGGTGCTGTCGGCCCTCTTCCCAGCGAACTGGGATCTCAATATCACAGTACCTGCGCACTATGTAAGTGGGCACAAAAGCCTCATACTACTTTAGGGCCTGTTTGATTGGGGATCCCCACATGCAAGTCACAAATTGCGTGCAAACTGGGTCTTATGCGTTAGCCTTGAAAACGGGGTTGATATACCTCCAATCGTTAGGATCTTGCGACTCTCTGTTCATTTCGCTTCCATCTCTTGTTCACTTCCCTCCGCCGAAACTCGGAGATTTCAATGAGACCGATCGTAATTACTGCTTTCCCTCGGATCCGGTAGATCGAGTGGCGCTGGAGGCCAATTTTCGAGCCGCCATGCAATCTAGTATGCTGTACTCCATAGATAATGGCTTACCCCAGCGAGTATGTTGTATAAACTTTGGGCCATGGTCTTGACCGGAATGGCACTGGTCAATTGGACTTGCGCGGCCTCCACGTCTGTACGTAGAGAGAGGTTCAAGATTGGCATAACGGGGCAGCTAGCACCATGCGCGCATCAGACTAAACATTCTTTGCTGGGACTCGAATCTAGCCACTGGCCGGTTAATGTATCAGGTGTTAGGAAGTGAAACCAAAACACAAATTGCTTTTGCGGGACGGTGATTGGACCGTGTATATGCATGGACATCATAAGGAGTCACTAGACGCAAACTCGATTAAAACCCCTCAAGCAGGAAAACAATCAAGAGACAATTCACGATCGGAGAATCATTGCATTCGGCGACCAAGGTTGATGTTTCTGGCCCCCAAGCCAAGTCCTTCTAGTCGCATCGGAGTTCTTGGCCATATTAACGCCCAGGGGAGTTATGTGCCAATACACCATACTCGATAGACACCAGGGATACGAGATTTTGAAGGTGCATGCAGCTATGATTCGAACCTTGGAATAATTTAAGTTCATTTCCATATTGCAACAAGTGCAATACCGGAGCAGAGAGAGAAATAGGAAGGCAGAAACAAAACACCAAGGCTTGGAAGGGCTGCACGCATTTATTTGGTTATTTAAACTTGAATTTTGATCCGCTAGACGGTTTTACAGACTCGTTACAACATGCAGCAGAGGAAGGAGTACATAGGCTTCCCTGTGAGATCCCTATCGAGCGCTTCAAGAGTCGGTGTGGGGATATCCTTCCAACGGCGATCGAAGGAGAATCAGGAGAAGTAGACCCGCCAAAGCTTCCCTCATGTGAATGGTCAAAGATATGATAGGCTAGAACAGTAAGAGGAAAAGAAAAAGATAGGGAATTTATCATGGGTATTCCCTGTACGGTGCATTAGAGCTTTGCCTAATGTATGGAGAGACTTTCTGAAATAGACAGAGAAGATGACGACACAGAGCATGACCATGTCGTATCGGAGTTAAAACATTATCTCCTAGACTGAAACACTTAGACGCCGCAGAGCTTGCGGTTAACGCGAGGTGGAGAACATAAGCTTGAGCTCGGCTAGACCTGGACTAGTTGATAGGGCTCTAAAAGGGGTATGCAACTCGAGAACATCCCTGTTACTTTTACTGTTATTTGCAGACCTATCAAATGATCTACTACCGAGTAACAAAACCAAAGCTTTGAGTTTCAGGAGCTTGGGCCTTGCGGGAGCATCGGGGTAAATGGGTATTGTATTGTCATAATACATTTGTATGACATTGCGGAGTGCACTATGGACCGTTCCCGAAGGTCCACTGAGATCCCGGTACGGAGTACGGAGTACTCCGTACCTGGAGACTGTATTTTGGTTCCATGGTACACGCAGTATCTTATTGTATCTGTATTATGATTCTATGAATAATAGATTTATAGACTCAGATTGTCTAGCCAAATTCGGAAATAATGTCCTTGGCATGAATCCACAATGTAACCTGTCAGAGACTATTTGTTGGAAACCTCACCTCTCAGCCAGCTAGATTCTGGTTCCATGTGGTCCCCGTCAAGACCTGCACAGTCCGAAAAGGGAAAATGAACAGAGGACTTGAGATGGAGTCGAAGAGAGAAGTGGATCATTTATCTTTCCGCTATATGTTGTTACAGCCTTCAACCTCAACGCTTCGACCCATTCCATTGAGACTAGCCCGATCTTCCCGGAGAAAGGCATAGGAAACAAGCTTTGTGGAATGGGGCAGAGGATGCGCACATCTCAGATCACGGGGCTTTTATCCAATGATTTCGAAGCGAAATCAGTTCCGAAACAAAGCAGCATACCCTGTCCTCTGGAGAATGTATGAACACCTGGAAAGATGGGTCTGCCCCCTAATGGCAACTTGGATACGAGCGATCAACGGATTTAACAGAGAGGAAACCCGGTTCTAGCTCGAATTGTGTTGCGGCTCAGGCCGATCCTAAACTTTTTGTCAAACTTTCTTTTTCTTTCGAACCAGAAATGTTTTTGTTAAAAAAAAAAAACCAGTAACAGAAACAGGAAAACAGAAAATACTATGTACTCCGTAGTAGAAAACCAATTATAACCAAATTACCGCTCGGCTATTGGCGAGCAGTGGAGAAGCTTCAAACTTTGAATTGTTCTCGCCCTTCCAAGGTTCCCACATGGCAGATCGGAAATTATACACAACATACCTAGACCTTTGACCTTCAAACTCTATATAGCATACCAATATGGAAAGGTCGGAGCTCCTGACTCAAGACATTTCCCCAGAATCATCTCGCATTTTGAGGCCTAATACGACCGAAGATCTCCCTTTGAAAGTGGTCCCACTTGTTAAACTGTGAATGTCTGGTC